CGCTGCCGTGACCACACAGATGGGGAGAGGTGCCAGAGGTAGGTGGGGTATGTGCCCAGACCAGGGCAGGGTGCTGCCAGCAGCCCCGGCCCCTGCTGACCTCCTGCCCACAGATGCGCAGCCGGGCACTTTGGAAACCCAGCGCTGGGCTCTGGGCAGCACTGCCGGCCCTGCCCCTGTCCTGACGGGCCCAGCACTCCCCGCCACTTTGCTGCCTCCTGCTACCAGGACAGCCGCTCCCAGCAGGTTGTCTGCCACTGCAGCCCTGGATACACAGGTGGGTGCACCCACAGCATGCTCAATGCCCTTGGGAGTCCCCCACCCCCTGGCACTGCTCAGTGCTCTGTGCCCACAGGTCCCCGCTGTGACGAGTGTGCCCCTGGGTACTATGGAGACCCGCTGCAGCCCGGTGGGCGCTGCCTGCCCTGCCAGTGTCACGATAATATCGATGTGACGGACCCTGAGGCATGTGACCGGCGCACAGGGCAGTGCCTGCGCTGCCTCTACAACACGGCAGGGCCACACTGTGCCGAGTGCCAGCCCGGCTACTACGGAGATGCCACACGGCACAGCTGCAGGCGTGAGTACCCACTGCCACATCGAGACAGACTTGCCCCCAGCGTCTGGCACATCCCTGGGGACCATGTGCACCCATGGCTGCCCTTGCTTGTGCACAGTGCTGTGAGGTCCCTGCAGCTCTCAGCTGTCTCCTCTGCCCAGGCCCAGCATTGTGGCCCCATCCCTGTCCCCATGCCCAACTTGTCCCATCCCATCTATATCCTCATTCCATGCCCATTCTTGTCCCTACTGCCATCTCATTCCCTCTGTCATCCATCTGTCCCCATACCATCCTTATTTCATCTCTATCCCAACCCTATCACATCTCTATTCCATCCCTATCAGTGGTCCTCATGCTGCTCTCATTCCTCCCAGCTCCATCCAGTCCCCACCCCATCTCTGCCCATTCTCTTTCTCCAACCTGCCTTCACCCTTATCCATCGCCATCCCATCCCTGCCTGTTTCCCCAATTCAATCCTCAGTTTCATCCCCATCTCTGTCCTCATTCTGTCCCCATCCCCTCCCAATCCTCCTCCCATCCCTGTCCCCACTTAGTACTTGTTGGTTCCAGGTTGCTCCTGCAACCCCCTGGGCACCGATGCCAGCACCTGTGGGCCCCAGCAGTGCCACTGCGACAGGCACAGTGGGCAGTGCCACTGCTTGCCCAACGTGGAGGGTCAGAGCTGCGACCGCTGCAGTCCCAACTTCTGGAACCTGGCCAGCAGGCAGGGCTGTCAGCCCTGTGCCTGCCACCCCCAGCACGCACTGTCACCTGCCTGCAACCAGGTGAGACACAACGGGGATAAAGGATGGGGGGATGGGATGAGGCTGGGAGTGCTCTGCAGCAGTGCCAGCCCCAGCCACGCTGTCTGTCAGTTCACAGGGCAGTGCTCCTGCCGGCCAGGCTTTGGGGGCCGGACTTGCACCGACTGCCAGGAGAACCACTGGGGTGACCCGCGGCAGCAGTGCCGAGGTGAGAGCTGGTGCCAGCAGGGGGACCACAGCGGGCCCCGTGGCACACTGACACCACTCTCCCTGCAGCTTGTGACTGCGACCCCCATGGTGTAGCCAGTGCCCAGTGCCACCGCAGCAGCGGCCACTGTGACTGCCGGCCTGGCATCTCTGGAGTCCGCTGTGACCAGTGTGCCCGAGGGTTTTCTGGTACCTTCCCTGCCTGTCAGCCCTGCCACCCTTGCTTCGGGGACTGGGACCGTGTGGTGCAGGACCTGGCTGCCCGTGCCCGGGCGCTGGCACAGCGGGCCAGCCTCCTGCAGCACACCGGGGCTGCCGGCGCCTTCGAGGGCACCTTCCGACGGCTGGAGGAGAACCTGGCCACCGTGCGTGATGTGGTGGCCACCCGCAATGCCACCGCTGCTACTGCCGCCCACTTGACACATGCCACAGAGGGGCTGCGGTGAGCACCCGGCACTGGGCATGGCTCCCAAGGTGGCCCCAGGGGCAGGTGGTCACCCCTTTCCCTTGCAGGCGGCAGATCGAGGAGGCAACGGAGAGGCTGACGCGGTTGGAGGGGGAGCTGACGGCTGCTCAGGACGCCAACTTCAATGCCAGCCACGTGCTGAACGCTGTGGACCGAGGTGCCCGCTCCCTCAACCACAGCCTGCAGGACCTGGAACAGCGGCTACATGCCCTCAAGACCTCCAATTTCCTCGGTGAGCCACACCACAGAGCCAGGCTGGGGCGGTGGGGCTGTGGCCGGCGGTCTGACAGTGCCCCTGCTGCCCTCAGGTGCCTATGACAGCATCCGCCAGTTCTTTGGGGAGTCGCGGGAGGCCGAGCGCCTGGCAGATGCCTCCACCCGTGCCGTGCCCAGCCCCATCAGCACCTCAGCAGCCACCCGTCACCGCACAGAGCAGCTCCTGGCCAGCCACCGGGATGACTTTAATCGCTACAACGCGGCCAGTCGGCGGGCACTGATGGACCTGGCAGAGCGGGCACAGGCGCTGAGCCTGCAGACGCTCAACGAGAAGGTGGGATGCAGGGATGGGACCGGGGGGATGGCTCCCAGAGTTGCCCTGATCCCGCACTGCCTTGCAGGTCTGTGGTGTGGTGGGCAATGTGCCCTGCGCTGAGAGCCCTTGTGGGGGTGCTGGGTGCCAGGATGAGGATGGGGGACGACGCTGTGGGGGTCTGAGCTGTGGTGGAGCCGTGTCCAAGGCTGACAGTGCGCTGGACCGGGCACACCATGCCCAGGAGGAGCTGCGGCAAGCTGGCAGCGACATGGCCCAGCTCTCCCACAAGGTGTGTGGCACACAGGCAGTGGTGGGAGCAGGCGGCACAGCCATGCGCCCCAGCTTTGGGGCTGGCACCGAGGGTCTCTGCCCATGCTCAGGTGGCCGAGGCCAAGGGGAAGGCGGATGAGGCTCGGATGAGAGCACAGGCAGCCCTGGACAAGGCGAACCAGACCAGGGCCCGAGTGGAGAGCTCCAACAAGGAGCTGCGGGAGCTAATCAGCCATGTCAAGGCCTTCCTGAGCCGTGAGTGCCAGCATGCAGGGAGGGTTGGGCCCCCTGCCCTGTGCTGTGGGGCTCTGCACCTGCACCACACTGCGCTGATCCTGCACCGCACCACACTGTATGGTCCCCACACTGTGGCTGTGCCACCCCTGCCCCACACTGCATTGCATGGTCTCTGCCCTGCCCCAACCATCCTGTGCCCTCCAACCATCTCCTGTCCCCTGCCCTCTGCTCCCTCTGCCGCTCAGTCTGCCTGTCCCTTCAATCCTGGGGTGCTGCAGGGGACACACTGACTGCTCCCACCCACAGAGGAGGGGGCTGACCCTGAGAGCATCGAGGTGGTGGCCAGCCGGGTGCTGGAGCTGTCGCTCCCGGCCGCCCCGGCCCAGATCCACCGCCTGGCCGAGGAGATCAAGACACGAGTGCGCAGCCTGGCCAGTGTGGACGCCATCCTGGAGCAGACAGCCGGTGATGTGCGTCGGGCTGGGCAGCTGCTGCAGGATGCCCAGCGGGCCAGGTGAGCCCAGGGATGTGGGGGTGCAGTCCCTCCAGAGCCCCCCAGCGCAGGCTGGTGCTGAGGCCTTGCCATCCGGCTGTAGGTCGCGGGCAGAGGGTGTGCGGGGCACAGCCGAGGCAGTGCGGCAGGCGCTGGAGGAGGCGCGGCAGGCCCAGGGCATGGCCGAGCAGGCACTGCAGCAGGCTGCCGGTGACATCCAGCACAGTGAGAGAACCCTCGGCACGGTAAGAGCCCTGTCCCCGCCACCACAGCCCCACGGCAATGCTCAGGGCCCCATCCCCACTGTGCAGGTGGTCTGACCACACCAGTCCCCTGTGCTACTCTTCCCTAGATGGAGACCCAGACGGGGAGTGCAGAGCGGCAGCTGGCAGGCGCCATGGAGCACATTGGGCTCCTGGACAGACAGACGGATGCCCTGAAGGTGAAACGTGCCAACAACAGCCTGGCAGCCGCGCGCGCCCAGGAGGCAGCGAGCATTGCACGGGACCGCGCCGGCGAGGCCAAGCAGGTGGGTGACTGGGGGGCATGGAGGGCAGCAGGGGTACCCCGAGGGTCCCACTGACCAGCCTCGCTGCCCAGCAGGTGCTGGAGGGGCCACTGCGGGACCGGTACCGGACGGCTCAGGAGATGGTGGAGCACCGGGCACAGGGAGCACGGCAGGCGGGCAGCCGGGCACAGCAGCTGCGGGACGAGGCTGCGGGGCTGCTGCAGGATGCCCAGGGCAAGCTGCAGCGGCTGCGAGGTGAGGCCGGGGCAGGAGGGCGGGGGGTTGCAGTGGCAGGGTGCCGGGCTGACCTATGTCCCCCCTGTCCCTGCAGTGCTGGAGGAGGAGTACGAGCAGAATGAGCGGGTGCTGGACGCCAAGGCAGCCCAGCTGGGTGGGCTAGAGGCCAGGATGAGGGAGGTGCTGGACACCATTAACCAGCAGGTCCAAATCTACAACACCTGCCAGTGATTTCCCGGAGGGGCCTGCACCTCCCCGCCGGAGGCCCCAGCCTCGCCCCCCAGCCTCTGCCTGCCCCTGCAGTGGTGGGCAGGGTGGGGGCTGCGGGGCACCCCCGTGTGAATAAATTTACAGAGCAAGACCGCCTCCCCTCCGCCCCGTGCCGTGGGCCTCGTGTCCTCCCCGGGGGCCCACGGCGGCTTCTCCCGGGGTGGGAGCTGCTCGTCTGCAGTCGTGGGGCACTGCGGGGCTCGGGGTCGGGCGGTGGGGCCGGGGGCTGGCTGTGACATTGGGGACACACTCGGATTGGCACGGACCGGCCTGGGACCACTGCGGATCAGACACGGCACCTCCACGGACCGGATCGGGACCCACGGCCGGGATCGGGCCCCCCCTGTTGCCATGGGAACGCGCCGGCGGCCGCCCCCACTGCGCGTCACGTGACCGCACCCCCCCTGCCGCCGCGCTCCCGTGTCACGTGGGCGCGCCCGGCGGCTCCCGGAAGTGCGTCACGGGCTCGGGCCTGTCTCCGTTGTCGGCCCGCTCGGAACTTCGGCGCGGCACAAACAGACCGGAGCGGCGGGCGGGGCCGTGAGTGCGGGGCGGGCCGGGCCGACCGGGCCGGGGCGGCGGAGGGGCCCGCGCGCTGCCAGCGGCGCCCGGGGCGGCGCGGGGTGGGGGCCGCGGCGGCGGCGGGCAGGGCCCGGGGGCGGTGTGAGGCCGGGATGCGGCCCGAGGGGGCCAGTGCAGCGAGGGGCGGCGGCGGCCTGGGGCGAGCAGAGGGAGGAGGGCATGGGGGCAGCAGGAGCTGCGGCGGCGCGCGCCGGGAGCGGGGCGCGGCGGGACAGGCCGAGCGCGGCAGCCCCGGGCAGGAGCCGCCGCCGTGACCTCGTGCTCTGCCCGCCCGGGGCAGCGCCGGGGCCGTCCGTGCACGCGGGCCGGTCACCGTCCTGTGCTCTCTCCCCGTGCCTGGGGCCGGGCAGCGGCGCAGGGCAGGCCGCGCGCCTGCCGGCTGCTGTCTGCCCGCTCTCATCACTGCCCGTGCCCAAGGCGGGGGTTGAAACCGGATGATCTTCAAGGTCCTCTTCCAACCCAAACCATTCTGTGGTTCTGTATTTGTATTCTGTATCCCCCAGACTGGGGGAGCTGGGCCTGCCGGGCTCCCCACGCAGCACGGAACTTGCTGCTGTCACGGTGTGTTGGGGACATGGTGATTTCCACACGGGTTGGAAACATTTTGTGTGGCAGTGCTGGATGGAGGAGCTGCCCCAAGGGGCTCTGTGCTCGTTCTGGCTCCACCCGTGTGTCAGGCATGCCAAGGAACTGAAGTAAAAGATAAGTTTGAGCCTTGGGATTTCTATCCCTCGGGAACAAGGAACAGAAGATGGCAAAAATGCACATGAGGGGTGTATTTCTGTTTCGGAACGTAGAGGAGCCAAAAGTAAATGGAAGGATGAGGCTGGGTGGATAGCCAACCTGTGCAGCTAGCCCTGTAAAGGCCTTTGGGCACTCAGGAGGAGTGCTGCAAGCAAGAATCAGGGAGCCTCTTCCTGCCAGGTGCTAAATGTGCCCCAGACATGAGGTGCAAATTGCATCTCATCGTACACCTTCTGCTGTCCTGCCCCAAGTGTTTACATCAACGCAGTCTGGTGCTGCCGTGAGGAGGGGTGGCCCTTCTCCCTGGCCTCTTGCTCCCTCTCCTCTGGCCAGTGAAAATGTTTGTGCAGTCCCAGCACAAGCTGGGTTGGGAAGCTGATCTGGGGCAAGACTTGGGAGAGAGCAGTTTTGCTCTGGCTGGTCTCTGGATCCTGCAGTCACATCGGCGCTTGCCCTGGTGCAAAGGCAGGGAGAGCAGAGGACAGGGAGGCACCTCCTCCTCCAGCAGCAGCATGGCCGGGCTCCCCTGGCCCGGAGGGTTGAGTAAGGGTTTGTAGGAGTGCCCAGCTCATCAGGTGCTTCCCAGAGGTTCACTTGGCATCCGGCCAGGGCGGCCTTCTGCCATCCCTCCCCTGCAGTGACTCCTGGTGTGCCAACAGGAGTGGTGCCAAAACCTCCGTGCTGCGCACCGAGGGCCGAACATCCTTCCTGAATATGTGTTTCCTGGTGGCAGAGAGGCAGAAAGTCTCCCGTTCACCTGTTCCTGAATCCCTGAATAACCTCTGCCAAAACCCCAAGGTGCCTGCAGTGGCCCCAGACTGCCATCAGTCTGGCAGCTGGAATTGGGCAGAGCTCCAGCCCCCTTGGTTCCTGCCTGCCATGAGGAATAACTGTCGGCAAAGGACCCGAGGGAGCAGAGCACTCAGTGAGGCATGAGAGCAGCAGGCTTCTCCTGGGGGAATGACAAGCAAGCACGCAACCCTATCTCTCCTGCTCACCCCTTCCTGGGTAGAGGCCTGTCCTTTCTCAGCGTCCAGGACCCTCCTCAGGGGTCACTCTGCCCAGCAGTTACCCTGTGCCACCCTTTTGGGTGTGCAGGAAGGAGGCAATGGAGCCTTGCTTGGCCCTGCACAGAGCAGTCAGTGCTGTTTGTCTCCCACTCCTCCTGGGGTTTTCACCTGAGATGTAAAAGAAATACAGCAAAAAAATGCTTTCACATGTTTGCCAAGCCCGGGTTACCTTCTTTAGCACCAGGAAACATCTGTAGCCAACCTGTTTGGGTGTTGCTGGGGACTGGAGCTGAGTGGCAGCATGCAGCTGCCATCAGAGGCTCAGGCTGGCGAATCACAGCCACATTTCCTGCTATGGGGGCCCTTTCCCATTCCTTCTGCAGTCATAAGTACTTCTGCATCCCGGGGAGACACAGCGTGTGTGCAGCAGCTTGAGGGTGATGCTGCTGCCCCCCCCACACTCTTTCAAGCTCTTTGGGACTGATACTGGGCCCTTCTCAGCATTCCAGTCTCCAGGTGATTTTGGGTGGCAGAAGTTTGTGCCCGGTGCTTGGGCTGCACTCAGCTTTTCACTTCTGGTTGTAGGGACAGGTTGGCCCGAAGTGAAGCAGTTTGGGTGCAGTGCCTGTTGTGGAACTGAGGGCAGGACAAGACTGCTTTTCTCTCTGGGATCCCTCATAGCTTGTGGCTACAACTCCACATTTGTGGCTACTTGTTGCCTCAAACGTTTCTAGAACAAAAATGCCCTGGCAACATGGGGTCGCAGCACAGAGCTGGCAGTTTCCTCCCTCTGACCAAGCACCTCCCTCGGATGTGCCTCCTGCCTCCGCCTGTGCCCGTGTGGAGTGTGGGGTCTGTGCTGGGTACACGGGTAAAGGAAGAACAGGGTGTTCCCGAGGGCACAGCTTGCCTTCCACTGAAGGAGGTAGGCTCAGATCAGGGCTAGACCGAGATGCCATGAGGCTCAGCTCCATGTCCTCAGACGGGAGCCGGGCTGTGGGAGGTGTGTGAATCAGCGGACCGGGGGCTGCGGCAGGCTGACGGCACCCGGGGGTGGGCACGATCCGCACCACTGGGTCTGTCTCCCCACAGCAAACCACCTCAGGCTGATGAGCGCTGGCAGGGCGTGCAGCCGGGGCAGAGAGGGAGGAAACCTTCCCAGCTCTCTCCTTTCACCACCTCCACGGAGGAACCTCGAGTGGGACTGTTTTCGGTGGGTTGTTCCAGCTTTCCTGTGTCCAGGCTGTGAACACCTGAGGGTGAAACTGCTGAGCCAAACAGACCAGCCCTTGGGCCAGCAGCTCCCAAACACCTCAGGGGAGCTGGCTTTGCAGGGAGGGCATGTCTGACGGGGCAGGGGTGAGCGCCCTGCGTGCCCTGCCCAGCCTGACCTATCCCTGGGGCACGAGGAGTAGAGGTGTCCTGTTTCCAGGCCAGGCCCCGCTGACGCTGTCTGTAAACTGACTGGGAGATAAATATGCAAGGTGCAGTCATGCTGGTTAAGCTCCCAGCTGGTGGGCGAAGGGGGGAGGAGCCCTGCTTTTGCCAGGGAGCTTCACTGTCATCTGTCACGGGAGACTGTCCCAGGGCCTGCTTCTGCTGCTCCCCTTTCTTCCTTCTTAGGGCGTTACTGGCTCCTGTTCTGGCCCTGTTACACAGGGGCACTGTTTGACTGAAATAGCTGTCGCTCCAAGCTGTGTTGCAGGCTGCCCTAGTTAACCCCAGAGGCTCAATTTTGCAAATCCAGGCCTCCTTGTGTCCTTGCCCTCAACTGTTCCACTGGGTGTTGTTAGCGCCAGCAGCTCCTCTGGGCCAGAGTTGCTATAGTGGGGGCCATGAGCATGACAATTGCTTTCCAGGTTTTTAATGCGTGCCACATACAGAAGACCCCTGGTTGTGTGTTGGGAGCTCTGACAGGCCCATGCTTTTGGCTGTAAGCATTGTAGCAGCTGTGATGAGGTAGGTTTCCTCACTGAGCCCTGCGTGGGGCTTCCCATAAACACTACAGTGAAAGTCATGTGAGGGCACTGGCCCTGGGGCAAAGAGCAGATCCTGATGCTGTTGGGCCTTCTCCACCTGCTCCTGCTGCCACGCTTGCTCTCTCCTCTCTTTAGGCCACTACTTCCTTGCCAGAGAGTTTGACCACAGAGAGTCGCCAAGATAGCTGGGCCAGGAAGAAAACGTCGCACCCCTGACCCAGACTCCATTACCGACCCCGGCGGGCCGTTTGTGTCCTCCAAACGGCTGAAAATGTCCAGCAGCACCAATGCCCCTGGCCAGAGGAGAGTGTCTCGGGGCTTGGATGATGCCACCAACAAGAAGAAGCAGAAGGATCGAGCCAACCAGGAAAGCAAGGAAGGTGAGAGCCCCTCGGCAGCGCTGTGGTGAGCAGGCCCGTGATGTCTCGGCCCTGCAGCCTGGGAGCCTCGCAGCCATCTGCTGCAGGATAAGCAGATTTGACTAATCACTTCCTGCAGCTTATGGCAACCCGTGTGATATGAGATCCTCTTCAACACAGTGTCCTCCCTGGACCTGTAGCCTCCTTCCTTTGGGCACTACTTAGCCTCAGTAATGTGAGGAAGGTTGGGCCTTGTTAGCTAAAGTCTGGAGTTGGCCTTAGTAGTTGTTTCTAGGCTCTGCTTTTGATCTAGGCTCTGCCTTGATCCAGAGGGAATGGGACTGAAGCCTATGGGTGCTCTTGCAGCTGGAGGCAGTGCTGCTTCTTTCCCATAGGTTTGCCGAGGCCAGATGTTGTGAGGCGGGGACTGGGTGTGCGGGGCCTGCGGGTGGGGCTAGTGCTTTAGCTTCTGAGTCAGGGCAGGGTGTGGCTGAGGTGAAATAGTTGCTGTAGAGTAATTCCTTCTGTAACTGCCATGTAACCAATGAAAAAAATGATGCTTCAGGTGCAGGGAGTGGCTGTGTGCCTGTGGCCCTGGAAAGCTACTTGATTTCTGTGCCTGCTCCGTTATGACTGTTGTAACCTCAAAATCACAGGGTGTTTTGTAGGCCAAGGTAAACGAGCACCTGCTGAGGTCTGTGCTGGAGCAGCCAGGTGCAGTCCCTAATGGAAATCCCATGGTGCAGAGCGCAGCACAGCGCCGTCTCTGACGTGGGAGGTGTGCTGTACCTGGAACATGGCAGGGTTCCTTAGGGGCGGCCTTGCTGCCTCTCTCCCCTCTGTGCTGGGGTGGTGAGGAGCTGGGGCAAGCTGTAGATCTCCCAGGCACTGCTGCCACTATGCTTCTCACACTGCCAGCCCCACTGGCACCTTTGCACCAGTGGCTGTGGTGGTCAGCAGAGGTTTCCTACTGGTTTGTAGCCAGTCATGGGAGGCAGTGACAGCTCTCTGAGCACTCTGGGGTGGAGACCACAGCTCCTGTTGCCGCTGTTTCTCTGCTCTGGGACAAGGTGCTATCGCTTTGAGTCTCTTGCCTGGCAGAGCTCACTATCCTGTGGGGGTAGAGCAGGTCCTGAGACACTTCTAGGTATTAGAGGTTATCCTGTGGGGAGCAGGGATTAGATGTCAGGTTGTTTTGGTTCCCCAGTCTGATCTGGAAGAAGGTTTTGGCTGTGGATGTTGGCAGCTTGTGCAGGAATGGAAATGTTAAAGTGCAGCTGGGCCACGTGGTTCTCTGGTTACAGCAGAGTTGGTTTGAGCACAACCAAACACCAGGTTCTTTCTGTCAGATCAAGACAGGACCCGTCTGTACAGCTGGAGGCTGGGGCCTGGTGCACTGAGCTGGGCTCTGCGTTGAGATGTGCCTCAAAGCAGCACTATCTGTGTGATGCAGTATTGTGTTGTTCTCACTGTGATGCTGCTTAAACTGGTGATGTGGCCCAGAGCAGCTGTCCTGGTGCTGCAGGCAGGCTTCTGGGGAAGGAGAAGTGTGAGGAAGCAGTGGAGGGAAATGAGCAGCACATGCAGAACAAAAGGCCTGCACACAGATTCAAGGGAGAAGAAGGTGATGTGTACAATTTTGGGTGCCAGCATGCTGGCTCATGCTCTGAGGTGACAGAATGACAGACCTGCCTGCGCTCTGCTTCTCGCCCACCAGTGTCTCGCCCTGAGCTCGAGCAGGCTGAGACTGCCCAGGAGAAGGACTCAGAGGAGGGTAAGTCGAGGTGTGCTCCAGCTGTCAGTGCATGGCCATGGAGTGCCCTTGCCAAGGGATCTGAAACGCTCACCTTGTCCTGGTCCAATACTCCGGCATTGAGCAGAGCTAACCTGAGCACTCCTTTGCCTCAGCGTTTATCTTAACAGGGTATGGCCTTCCCAGGGGTGGAGAAAGGTGCACGTGGTTGGGAAGGGCTGCCTGCAAGGAAGAGGCCCTAGGCATGAGGCAGGCTGCTTCTAACTCAGGTGTCATGGTGCCACTGAGCACAACCCTGGGATGCCTTGCTGCCAACACCTGTCCAGCTTGTTTCTGAGCAGGACATTGTGCTGGGCTGGGAAGATCCCGAGCCATGTCACCCTGTGGGCAAGGTTAGCTGGTTTCTGTCTCAGTCCAGCCTGCTTTGAGGCCAGAGTAGACCATTCTCATGCCACAGAGGGTAGAACAAAACTGCATGAAATCAAGGTGATTGAAATCACCTTTTTGTCTTGATGACGTCAGGGCATCACAAGGCCAGACCAGGAGCCTGACAGGCACACAGTGGAAGTTCTGCCTGCAGCAGGGTGTCACTGCTGCACTGTTGTCTCCCCAGGTGCAGTGTACTTGCCCGGCTGGCCGGCCTGCCCGTGTTTCAGTTGTGTTAGCCATGCTCACCTGGCAGGAGTACAGTGCTTTGATGGTTGCAGCTGGGCTGCTTGGTTTGCATATGCAAAGGGGAAGTGGCAATTTCTGATTGTGGTCAGAGTCCACTTTGAATCCCCCAGAGTAATTCTGTGGCTTCCTCGTTCCTTGAGAAAGCAGTAATTGCTTTGTCGTTGGCAGGAGCCACCCCTTCTTCCCAGCTGCCACTGCTGCATGTGGCAATGCCGGGAGCAGGGCTGCCTTTTTGATCTCTCCAGTTCCCACTGGGATTCACCTGCCCTGCCGCAACACGTGCTCTTGTTTGTGGCCTGTCTGACGAGGGCAGGTCCCATTTAATCGGCATGATCTGTGTTCCCTGTGCTGACCTCCTTAACCGAGCGTGTGTTTAGGCCCACATTCCCCAGCCAAGGAGTGGGCACTTCAGGCTCATGCCCCAGCAAGTGGGTGACACTTTCCTCCCTCTTCCTAGAGCTGCTACTGGACTGGAAACAGAATGCTGACGAGATCATTGTCAAGCTGAACTTGGGCAGTGGAGCTCTGAGGGTGGAGGATGTAGATGCTGATTTCTCCGACACAGGCTGTGTGCTCAAACTACCAGGTATGGGAATGGAGCGACTGCTGCAGACATTTCTCCATTGGGACTTGGCACAGCTCTGGGCCAAGCACGGGGTTGATCCAGGCAGGCATCAAACCTTTCCACCAGAGGCAATGCCCTGCTGTCAGCTGGCACAGCCTCAGCCAGCAGACAGGGCCCATAGGAGAGCATTCTAGAGCTGAGGAGGGCAGGAGCTGCCCTCGGTGCCAAGGGAACAAGTGCCCACTGCTGCGCCGGTGTGTCTTTGTCCCCTGCTTGCTGGGATGAATGAGTCAGCCCCGAGGTATCCTTTGGAAAAGTGACTGTGCCCCTGAGGGCAAGGAGGCACAGGGCCTTCCCTCTGGGAAGGAGGCCAGCCAGATGTACAAAGCAAATTCAGGGAAGCTGGCTGGAGCCCTAGAAGGCTCCTGGGGTATGGTGGCAGCTTGCCTGCAGCCTTCTTGGCTCTGAATGAGTGCTTCCTTCTTCCTGGGGGCAGGTGAAAGGGGGCTGTGGGTTAGGTGACAGCTGCCTGGAGCACTGCCTGAGGTACCCATTCCCCTCTGTTTACAGACGGGCGCCAGTGGAGCTGTCAGTTCTACGAGGAGATTGAGGGCTCCTGCAGCAAGCTCCAGTGCAAGAAGGGCAATTTTCTACAGCTTGTGCTTCAGAAGAAGATCCCACTCCATACCTGGTCTTCGCTTCTGGTGAGGAGGGGAGGATGTGCCTTTTCAGGGAGCTTATGGAGCGCTGGGGAGCTCGGGTGAGCGCTGAGCTCCCTGCTCTTGAGCCACCCAGGGGGAATGTGGGGCACATCTTGCATCCACAGATTGCATGAGCCAGCTTCCTTTGTCCCAGGGAGGACTGTGTCTTTGTGCTCCTGTTTCTGCTTGCCACATAGTGTCCAGGTTCTGGAACAGAGTCCTGGTGCACTCTGGGAAGGGAGAGTGAGGGTGAGGGGCTGGCAGAGAGCCTGAAAGGTGCTGCTACTTAAATACCTTCCCACTGTGCTGCACGGCTTTTTACAGAAAAGAAGGAAAGATGGATCCAAAGAGCTGACCAAAGGGGCCACGTGCTGGGAGAATGGGAAAGAGAAGGCTGCTTCTGCAGAGCTGATCTCTGAAGAGCCAAGAGCTGAAGGCACAGAGCCACCAAGATCCCGGCGGGAGCCCTCCAACCCCAAGCGTGCTCCGGGAAGAAGCGAGGCCCTGGGAGGAAAAAGCCCAGCCAGCCCAGGGACACAGAGTGGCCCCAGCGCCAAGCGGGCAGTATACCTCAAAGTAGCTCCAACTGAGGAGGAGCCGAATGCCAGAGTCACCGGGAGCACAGAGCCCAACAAAGGGCACAGCGGGAGGGCCGGGAGCCGCCGCAACGGCAGAGCCAGCCAGGTCGATGCGCCCACAGCCCTGGCGGACATTGCACTGCCACTGGAAAAGGTACCTGAGGACCTGACAGAATGGGGCACCCCTGCTGCCTCTGCCCCTGTGCAGGGGATGCAGGGCCTGTCCCTACCATTGAGATGGGTTCCGGGGTTCTGGGGGCTGATGTGAGGAACTGGCTGTGGTGGAGGAGAGGGCAAAGTGAGGGCCCTGCAGTCACTGAGCTGTGGTGCTAATGGGACTGAGCTGGGTGTGGGATGTGGGGGGCGAGTGGGCAGTGTGGAGCTGTGCCTGCCTGGCTAGCGCGAGCCAAGGTGAGTGGACCAGGGCAGCTCAGGGGTGATGGTGTCATGTTTCACTGTGTCCTTCTGTATTGAAAGGCTGTGGTTTTGGCCAAGGAGACTGTTCCAGTGGAGATGCCACCTCTTGCGGCTACCACAGAGGTGTTCCCCCACCATGTTGCTACTTGTGTGGAGAAGAGAGTCCTGCAGCCAGGCAGCCCTGCTGAGACCTTGCGGGGCCGGGACTGCACACCTGTGCTGGGAGAGAGCTCTAAGGCTATCCCAGTGGCCTCCCCTCCCCTGGGCAGAGATGGTGAGAAGAGGGATTGGTCCAAGGATGATGTGGCTCTGGAAGCAGCAGCTGATGGTGAGTGGCCAGAGCCCATGGGGTGAGCCTGGTCAGGAAGGTACATCTGCTCAGGACCTCTCCTGGGTCAGCTTGCAGCACTGTCTCAGCATGCAAGGAAGGTAACATCTCTCTCCCTGACTTTCCTTGATTAGAGCCAGAGCCTTTTGTGAGCCTGTCCTTTGTCAAGAATGACTCATATGAGAAGGGCAATGATCTGGTGGTGGTGCACGTCTATGTGAAGGAGATCCACAAGGAGACATCCAAAGTGTTTTTCCGGGAACAAGACTTCACACTGGTGTTCCAGACGAGGTACAAGTTTGCCTCAGGATAATGCCAGGCTGCTGCAGATCTCCTGGTTGCAGCTGGCTACTTATTTGTTCACCTCTGCTCACTTCCATTTTCTCTGCAGTGACACAAACTTCCTTCGCCTCCATCCTGGCTGTGGGCCCCATACAGTGTTCCGGTGGCAGGTGAAGCTCAGGTATGGTTCCTGTCCTTCTAATCCACACCAGGGCAAGGGAGCTGAGAGTGCAGAGCTGGAACAGGAGCCAGTCCCAGATGGTGACTCTGTGCAGGGAATGCTCGTTTCTGCACCTGGGCGTTTCCCTTACACCGTGTTGCACTAGTACCCCAAGTCTGGATTGCCTTAGCTGTATGCTGGCTCAAAGGCAAGGAAGGGAAGGAAATCCTAGTGTCTCCTTGCCTGCAGTTCGCTCCCAACGTGTTCTAGAGCTCTTGGGGACAGAGCCATACCAGCCAGTGTGTGCTCTGGGCTGTATGTGCAGCAGGAGGGGGCATGTGGAGCCAAGCAGAATGGGTCTGTCAGGAAAGGGGCCCTCTGTGTGCTCAGTGAGGCCAGGCTCAAGGGTTTCCACCCTGCTTTGCCATGGCTGCCTCGGGATCAATGCTAGCAGTGTCCCTACTGCCTGGAGGCCATGGCTTTGCCTTGCAAAGGCTTTGGCATGTCTGAGGCTGCTGTGGGATCTGGGGCATCCCTGACTTGCTGTGTGTCTTGCAGGAATCTTATTGAGCCGGATCAGTGCACATACAACTTCACAGTGTCTCGCATCGATGTCTGCCTGAAGAAACGCCAGAGCCAGCGCTGGGGGGGGCTGGAGGCTCCAGCCACACGAGGTCTGCACCCTGCCTTGTCCTGCCTGCCACCCCAGTGGGGCACAGGCTCTCCTCACCACTGGCAGCTGCCGGTTGGTGCTGGATCCTCTAGCATGGGGCTGTGGGGAAAGAGAGGGGCTGAGCGGGTGCAGGTAGGAGGGGTGTGGGGCAGGGCAAGCCCAGTGGTAGGGGAAGGGCACTGCTGTTCTCCTTGCTCATGGGATAGAGGGGTAGGAGAGAGCCTGTGTGTGAGCATGGACTGAGCAGCTCAGCTCCGCCGTGGGCAGTGCGCGGTGCTGCTAACCACAGGCCCACCCTTCCCCCTTTTTAAGGTGCAGTGGGTGGTGCAAAGGTTGCCATGCCTACAGGCCCTACCCCTCTGGATAAGAACCCTCCGGGCAGTAACCAACACCCCCTGTCCAGCAAGGAGGAGGCCCGAACCAGTGACAAAGAGAAGCCACGTGTGGAAGATGGGGGTCTGGATGGTGTGGCAGCCCGTACAGCCTCAGAGCACGTGGCAGTGAAGCAAGAGCCACACATCCCATCGGTGAGTGGGGCCACACTGGATCTGACCCGGGTGGAGAAAAGAGGGATCCCGCCTCCACAGTGTCGCTCTGGAGACTGGCAAAGTATTCCTGGAGGAGGAGGTGGCACTCCTCAGTCATAGATGGCAGGATTAGGGGCAGCGGTTGGCCTGTCTATCCCAGTCCTGGTGGGAGATATTGTGATGGCTCCAGCCCTCTCTGAGGGGTTTCTTGGGCTTTTGGGTTCCTGTGGTGTTCCCGGAGAGACCCCCCTGAGCACATCACCCTGACACCTGCCTCTGCTTGGCAGCCTAAACCAACGTGCATGGTGCCACCGATGACACACAGCCCGGTGAGTGCCGAGAGTGTGGAGGATGATGAGGATGAGGATGAGAAGAAGAAGGTCTGCCTGCCTGGCTTCACAGGGCTGGTGAACCTGGGCAACACCTGCTTCATGAACAGTGTCATTCAGTCCCTGTCCAACACCCGGGAGCTGCGTGACTACTTCCATGGTGAGCCCACGTCGGGAGCCCGGCAGGGCCTGGCCACTCAAATGCTGCGCCCTCACTCCTGCATCTCTTACAGATCGGTCCTTTGAGTCGGAAATCAACTACAACAACCCTCTGGGGACGGGGGGACGCCTGGCCATCGGCTTTGCCATGCTGCTTCGGGCGCTGTGGAAGGGCACACACCATGCCTTCCAGCCCTCCAAACTGAAGGTAGGACTCCTGGCACTGGCACTCCGCAGCTGCTGTGAGTCCCCAGAACTCCTGTGTGGGCACCTGCCTGCCCTGCTAGTGCCACAGAGAGTTGGGTGGGTGTGGGTGGGTGCAGCCAGGGTTTGTACATGGGGCAGGCAGCACTGCCGGGGGGCTGCTAGCCAGCCCTGACTGCTGTGCTCCCTGCAGGCAATTGTGGCCAGCAAGGCCAGCCAGTTCACTGGCTATGCCCAGCACGATGCTCAGGAGTTCATGGCCTTCCTGCTTGATGGCCTGCACGAGGACCTCAACCGCATCCAGAACAAGCCCTACACAGAGACTGTTGACTCGGATGGGAGGCCCGATGAGGTGAGGTTGTCCCTCCCCAAAGTCACTGGGAGAGCAGCCTGGGTGGTTTATCAAGGTGCTGAGCCCTTTCCCCCCACAGGTAGTAGCTGAGGAGGCTTGGCAGCGACACAAGATGAGGAACGACTCGTTTATAGTAGACCTCTTCCAGGGCCAGTACAAATCCAAGCTGGTGTGCCCAGTATGTTCCAAGGTAGGGCAGCTCCGGATGTTCTGTCTCTGTCCATGCTGTGCCAGCAGCAGGCTCCTGACCCTCAGAGCACACAGGGCAAGGCTAGATCTCAGATCCACTGGATGTGCTGCCCTGCTGATCTCAGCCACGAGGACTTCCCACAACTGAGTGCTTTTGCATCTGCAGGTGTCTATCACCTTTGACCCCTTCCTGTACCTCCCCGTGCCTCTCCCACAGAAGCAAAAGGTGCTGACTGTCTACTACTTTGCAAAAGAGCCACACAAGAAGCCCATCAAGGTAAAGGACACCACCTACCCTGAGAAGGCTCCTGGAGGTGCCCTGGCCAGCTGGTCTTGTGCCAACAGGCTAAGCCTTGTGTTAAGTAAGGGCCCACATACCTTGGTGTGGTGTGACTGATGTGGCACTTTGTCGGTGGCAGTTCCTCGTGAGTATCAGCAAGGAGAACTCCAGTGCCATGGAGGTGCTCGAGTCAGTGGCCCACAGTGTGCGTGTGAAACCAGAGAACCTGCGCCTGGCAGAGGTGAGAGTGCTTAAGCTGGGGAGAGTGCTTAAACATAGGAGTGAGCCATGGGCTGCTTTTGTGGGTGTCCTGGCTCCCACAGCCCTGCAGGGAGTATGGCCACTGACAGTCACTTGCCCATATCCAACATGTCTGTGGGATGGATTTTGTCCATGGGTGGCAGTGTCATGGGCAGGGTGCTGCCAGGCAGATCCCTGCTCCAGAGGGCTGGTCAGCTGCAGTAGGGCCTGGGATGTCCCTCTTTCCCTGGTGAGATGGTGAGCTGAGGACAGCATCCCTGAGCTGCTGCTGTTCCCGCAGCTCACTGTGGGGCTGAGGTCCGTGGCTGTCTTGAGGAGGGGATGTGTGGGGCAGCCCTCACACAGCCATGCTCTACTGCTTTCCTGGCAGGTGATCAAGAATCACTTCCACCGCATGTTCCTGCCGTCCAACTCGCTAGACATGGTCTTGCCGACAGACCTGCTGCTCTGCTTCGAGGTGCTGTCCCCAGAACTGGCCAAGGAGCGGGTGGTGGAGCTTCAGGTCCAGCAGGTGAGAGGGGATATTGGGACTTCTGGAAGGCATGCAGGGAGGCTGAGCCGCAAGTGGGACTGAGCCAGAAGGGCAGAGCTGTACACAAGGGTGACTAGCTGCAGCAAGAATGGATGCCCACTGAGGCTGCCTTGTCTTGCCCTGATGCCCTTCCCTGTCCAATGGGCTCTTTCTCCTGCAGCGTCCACAGGTGCCCAGCGGTCCCGTCGCCAAGTGTGCAGCCTGCCAGAAGAAGCAGCTGCCAGAGGATGAGAAACTCAGGCGCTGCACGAGGTGCTATCGAGTCGGTTACTGCAATGTGTGAGTTGGCTTGGTGCCTGGCAGGGGGGAGGGTCTCCTGCTCTGAAAGGCTGAATGGGAGAGCGTGGCCTAATGAGAGAAGGTGGGATGGGTCTGGCCTTTGGGAGGGAACCAGGTGGGCTTGCGGTGCTCCCCTTATCCCTAGCACACCCCTTTTGGCCCTATGCTGCTCCTGCCCAGGTTGGTCATGGCTGCTGGGTTCAGCAGGGGCCATACATGTTACAGGGCATGTCAGAAAACACACTGGCCAGACCACAAGGCTTCGTGCCGCCCCGAGAACATCGGTTTCCCCTTCCTCATCAGCGTGCCGGAGTCCCGCCTCACCTACGCCCGCCTGGCCCAGCTGCTGGAGGGCTATGCAAGGTGAGAGTCGAGGGTAGGAAGGTGCTTCTGCCCTGGAGCTGAGCTCAGCCCTGTGCCTGACCAGCTCTAACTCCCACCTCCTTGCCCAGGTACTCAGTCAGCGTGTTCCAGCCTCCGTTCCAGCTAGGACGGATGTCACCGGAGCAGGGGCTGCAGCCTCTGCACTCGGACAAGCTGGAGCCCTTGGCCAAGAGCAGCTGTGCAGCAGCCACCTCTGCCTCTGAGCTGGGGGAGGGGGACAGGGCTTCCAGCCTCCTGCAGGAGCCCCCACTCTCACCAGCTGTGCCTGAGCTACACCCGGAGATGGGGGACACTGGCACTGTCCGGAGCAAGGTTCTGACAGCCAGGAGTTCCCTGCTGAGCTTGGATTCGGGCTTCTCTGAGCACATGGAGTCACAGGGTGACAGCTGTTGTGAGAAGGAGCCATCCTATGAGAGAGCCATCAAGCCAGAAGGTAAGAGGTGCTGCAGTGCTAACTGTGTCTGTGGCAGGAGCCCAGGCAATTCTCCCTCCTTGGGGTGACCTCCCACCACAGCATGTGTTCTCCTCTTGAGAGCTTGCTCTGGAGACTCCTGGGGACACAAATGAGGCCATGGGAGCTGTCTTTTGGCAGTGTTGCCTCACCTGAAATGCCTTCCTGCCCACGCTCTGCCTTGCCCTGGCAAGGTGCAGGGAGTAGAGCAGAGACCTGATGAGGAGAGAGGCTGGAGCACTGTGTTGCTGTGGGAGGGGTGGGAAGGCAGGGGCTGGCAGAAATCTCGAGTCCCGTGGGAGCAGGGCAGAGCTGGTGCGGGCTGTGAGCCCCCGGGGGCTGTGAGCGAAGCACTTCCCTCGCTCTGACTCAGCTGCATGGGACCAGCCTCTCGCGCTCGGCTGCCTGGCTGTCACGTTTCCAGACACTCATCTCAGGATGGCAGCAATGTGCAGTGAAGGGGCAAGGCAGGCAGAGGAGCACAGCTTGCCAGGGGCAGGCGCCTGCTAAAAATAGTCAAGGACACGGGGCACGTGGTTGTGTCCCTTCAAGGCCGTAGCATGTGAGGTGGGGGTGGGGGCACTGCAAATTCTTGGCCCCTACGCAGGGCAGACAGGCAGTGCCACCACAGATCTGTCCCTGCCTGTTCACAGCTGCCATCCCTGGGTACCAGCACACTTCAGACTCGCTGAGTGCCCGCGCCACACAGTTCTACATCAATAAGATCGATGCTGCCAACCGAGAATACAAGCTTGAAGATAAAGGTGAGCCCTGGAAACCACCACCTTCATCCCTTATAGCCTCTGGCAGGCTGGTGGATCTGCCTGGCCAGGGTGCCACAGCCTCCCTGGCACAAGGTGAACCCAGATGTGATGGCGGCCCAGATTGGACAGTGAAAACTGCATCTGACACAGGGGAGGGAAGGGCTCTGCTGCACACAGCCTCTGTCTGGAATCTCTTCTTGAGCATGACATTCCTGCTTTCCTCAGCAAATAGGTCAATTCCTTCCAACCACCTGTGTCCGCAGGGGGTCTGTGATCTCTGGGTCACCTCTTGTCTGAGTGGGATGCCCACACCCAGTGCTGATTGTGTGGGTGCTGTTGATGAGATGGGCTGTGCCAGCTTTGTGCCCTGCTGGCCAAGGGGTTCTGCTGCCCTGGCATGGTGAACCTGGCTGGGAGACACCTACCTTTCTGGGAGCACTGTGTGATCTCTGTATTGAGCTGGGATGGACAAGACTGCTCCGAGCCCCAGCAAGGGTGCCTGGTCCAGCCTGGTAGGGCCAAGTGTGTGAGGTCTGTGCCCCTTCACAGGTGACACACCCCTGGAGCTGACAGACAACTGCTCCCTCGCCCTGGTGTGGAAGAACAATGAGCGCCTGAAGGAGTTTGTGTTGGTGGAATCCAAGGAGTTGGAGTGTGTGGAGGACCCAGGCTCAGCCAGTGAAGCAGCCCGGGCTGGTCACTTCACCCTGGAGCAGTGCCTCAATCTCTTCACCAAGCCCGAAGTCCTGGCCCCAGAGGAAGCGTGGTGAGGAAGGCAGCAGGGTGGGTTCCAGCCCACAGGCCCAGGCAGCAACGGGGGTTTCCTAGGAGCTGCTCGGGCCTGCATACTGTTTCTTCTGGCAGCCAGGAGCGCTGGGCTGGCCTTCCCTGTGCGCTGGGGAGGGCAGCCATAAGCCAGCAGGGAGCAGTGCCAGTGCTCTGCAGGACTGTGCTGGCCTGCCCTTGATGGAGAAGGCTGAGCCCTCCTGCATCCCCTCTGCCAGCCCCACATGTGGGGACCCTGGGGCTGGGCTGTGCTGCGAGGCCTGAGGCTCTCCCCATACCGGTAACGAGCACACTCTTCCTTCAGGTACTGCCCCAAGTGCAAGCAGCACCGCGAGGCCTCCAAGCAGCTGATGCTGTGGCGGCTGCCCAACGTCCTCATCATCCAGCTCAAGCGCTTCTCCTTCCGCAGCTTTATTTGGAGGGACAAGATCAATGACATGGTGGACTTCCCTGTCCGGTGAGGGCCTGGGGGATGACGTGGCCACTGCCTGTGCTGACCTGCAGCATGGCCTCTCCCTGCCTAACGCTGATTACCTCTGACTGTCCCTGTGTCTCTCCTCAGGAGCCTGGACCTGAGCAAGTTCTGCATTGGCCGGAAGGGTGAGCAGCAACTGCCTATGTATGACCTGTACGCTGTGATCAACCACTACGGAGGCATGATTGGGGGGCACTACACGGCGTACGCCCGCCTGCCCAACGACAAGAACAGCCAGCGCAGCGACGTAGGTGAGGATCCGCCACCCTTTCCACTCCCCTGCTGCTGCGGGTATGACCTGTCTGTTGGATTAACCCTTCTCTCCTCTCAGGCTGGCGGCTCTTTGACGACAGCACAGTCACCACCGTGGATGAGAGCCAGGTGGTGACCAGATACGCATATGTTCTCTTCTACCGCCGGAGGAACTCTCCCGTGGAGAGACCCCTGCCAGGGCACCCCTCAGACCATCGCACTGAGCGCACCCCCTCTGCCGAAGCTGCTGCCAGCCAGGTGAGCACTCGTGTCCCTTTTGACACTGTTTGAGCTACAGAGCCTTGAAACGTGCCCAGGTGCCCACGTGCAGGGCCTGGCCCGTCTCTGTCCACACCCACGGAACCTTGGCACAGCTGCGGTGCAGTGCCTGCACCCGTTTGGTACCAAAGAGCTTGCACCAGCCAGGCATTGGAGCCTGTCTTGCCTTATTGTCACTGTGAGCTTGGTACAGTCCCTGTCCTGAGAGATCACGAGAGAGCTGGTTCCCGTCATCAGAGTGGGAGCGCTGGGGGGAGGGCATTGGAAGAGGCAGAAAGGGCCCAGCCTCGCCAGGGTCTGCACTGAAGGAGGGTTGTGAGCAGTGCAGTAGGTGCTGGCTGTGTCAGGGAGCAGTGAGAACCTGCCCTCTGCAGCCACTTTCGAGGCAGAGTGGGGGACACTTTCTGCTGGGGCCCAGCTCGGGGCCAAGCTAGGTGCAAAAAAGGCAAATGCCAGTGCTGAGCCAGAGGCCTGGCAGCCTTCACAGGGTGCTGGAGAGAAACCTGCTGGAGAAACTGTTGTTGGGTGGCCTGGGAGGGAGGGGAGGAGGAAGGGAGCCGGGCTGGGCCAGACGGCAGGGTGCTCTCAGCGTGCAGTGGCAGGGAATGGTTGGGCTGATCTTTGTGTGAATGTCAAAGAAAGGCCCAGGCTGGGGCACAGTAGAGTGCCCACCTGGGCAGTCCCCCTGCATCATTGTGCTGCAGAGTTTCCCTCTGTGCTCGGCACTCCTGTGGCCCCACAGGATCTAAGGACAATGCTCAGCTCATCTCTGGCATGACTGCACGTGTGTGCCCTGAGGGGCCCTTCTGGCCTGGCCCCCCTGTCTGTCTGGCTCGTGCAGCCCTTGACCCGGTAGTGGTTAGGCATCTTGGCTCTGCCATCTGGGGACAGGAGCTGCCCGTCCCTGAGGCCAGGGGGGCTGTCTGGCATGTTGGTGTTCACCTGCCTGGGCTGTTCTTGTCCTGGGGGACTGCACGTGTCCTGGAGCAGCTCCACTCGCTGGGGGCGGCCTGAGCAACAGGAGAGCTGTGCTGCTCCTCACACACCGGCAGTGGGAGCCTTCAGGGGCCCAGCTGGCAGCGAGGCTTACCGTATGCCCCATGGCACTGGGGCTCATCGGGTCCCCTCGTGGTAGTGGGCCCCTGGCTGCGCTGGATCCCCTGCAGCGATGGGATGCATTGGATCCCACTGGGGCTCAGCAGGTCCCAGAGCACCTTGGACCACCTGGACCCTCCCAGGCACGGGGTGCCCTCCAAAGACCTGCACCCCGACTGGTTGCTCTGCATGATCACGATCACCGACATGAAGGGCCAAGCTGTGACTGGCTGCCTGTGGATAATCCTCCTGGAAGCTGGGCTGCAGTTGGTTGTCGGAGCATTCCCACTCACCAAAGCAGAGCTGTGACTGGCTGTGCTGTGACTGCACCTCCTGCTCCTGCTGCCCCAGCTGGCTCTGGATTGGCTGTCATCCGAAAGATCCTGTTGGGATCACAGAAGCTGGGCTGCGATTGGCTGCTGCCTGCTCCCTTGCCACCTGGACCCACCAATACCAGTGCATCTGCTCCACCGGGATCCAGCTGCCTGCTTCGTTCCCTGCAGTCCCATGAAGACCCTGCCCGGCAGCTGCCCATGCTCCCTCCTGCAGAGCCACCCACCAGAGCACCACACACCGGAGACCCTGAAGAGCCGCGGGGGCGGGCGTGACCGCGACGGTGCTGCATGGGGAGGCGGGCTGGCTGGGCACGGGGCTGGGCTTGCAGGCAGCCGCCTGCCCCGGGGGATGGAGAGGGGTGTTGCCCGTTGTGTTCTCCAAGTGCTGACGCAGGTTTCCACATCGCAGGCTTCTCTGATCTGGCAGGAACTGGAGGCTGAAGAACAAGAGCTGCAGCTTGAGGCACCCCAAAGGCCTTCAAGAAACTCCTGGAGGCCCCGTGGCCAGAAGCGAAGTCCGGGCACCCCCCAGCACCCTGATGAAGGCTGCGTCAGATACTTTGTCCTGGCCACCACGGCCGCAATTGTGGCTCTCTTCCTGAATGTCTTCTACCCACTCATTTACCAGCCCCGCTGGAGATAGGCATAGGCGCGTGGCCAGCTGCAGGAGCAGGGCCGCCAGGGCACGCGCCGTCCTAGGATGCTACGCGACCAAGACATCGGGCAGCAGGACAGAAACCTCCGGGAAGGACTCGCCAAGGGAAGCATGGGGCCGTCGGCTCCTGCCTGTCTGCTCTGGCATCTCCTGTGCCAGCTGGCAGGGCTGTGTGGCCAGCCCGCTGCCTTGCCAAGGCGCAGCCCAGAACCAGGAGCTCCTCTGCCCTCCCTTACTGGGAGTGGGGCAGACCTCATGGCTACCTGCTGCACAGGAAGGGACATTGCTGCTGCAGCGCAGCTGGGACCTGGGACCCCCATGGGCACATCGACTATCTCTGCTTGGCTCCCAAGAAGGAACTGGAGACCTGCCGAGAGGCTGCAGCAAGGGCAGGATGCCCTGACATGGGTCCTGGCTAGCCACCCCTCTCAACTGTGCTGCTGCAGGAGTCTAGAGTTCCCTCTGGGCTGGCGCGACCCGTGGCTCCTTGGCCAGCCCAGTCCTGCCAGCCTCCCGCTGAGCCTTCTGATGCCAGCTGCCTGTGCACCAGGAGTTGTGTGCACCGCACTCCTGTGCTGGGGCTGAATGGGCTTGTCACTGAGGGCTTGTGTGCTTCTCTGCTCAGCCCTGGACGGCTGCTGGGGAGAGAGCCTGGCAATCCGGACTGGGGTGCCCATGGTGAGCACCTGCCTCTGGGCTGTTGGCTCCCACTAGTCCTTGGGGCTGTGGGCTGTCAGCATTTGGGGACGTTGGTCTCTGCCGGGGGAGTGTGGTGCAGCCCCTCATTTGTGAGGGGACTGGCTGCCCATGCTACGGGAGAGGCGTGGGGTCGGGGAGCACAGGTAGGATCTCAGTGCGTTAATAAAAGCCAGGTTTTCCAAAGAGATGCAGCATCCCTGTCCTGTGTGTTGGAACTTTCACACAGAGGCAGGGACCCTGCACTGGGGTCACCTGAGGCCACTCTGTGGCCCAGCTGGCACCAGGACTGTTCCTTGTGCTCTGCTGGGTGCCTGGTGCACCCTGTGTGGCAGCGGGCTCAAGGGAAAGCTCTGTCTGCCAGTGCCATGAGGCACAAGCTGGGCTCTGGTCCCAGCTGTGGGGCGGTAGCCCTGTGGGACACGTGCAGGGCGTGGGGTGCCCAGCGGGGCCGGCAGCAGGCACTCCCCTGGGACTGGAGCACAGGCTGCAGCTTCAGCGGTGTCTGACATTGAGACGTGTTGCCCTTGGCTCAGCGTGGCTCAGACAGCTCTGGCATATTTGGGTGTGGAAGGTGACTTCAGAGCCCTGTGACTTTCTTTTCCGTCTCTGCTACTGTCCTGCTGGCAGTGCCCTTGGCTGGCTTGGGAAGGATGCTTGGCAGGGAAGGGGTTCACCTGCATATTAGGTTGGGGCTTGAGCCGAATTCCCCCCACCTCTGTCCCACACCCCTCCTCCACATGTGCCGTGGTTTATTCCCCGCCCAAGCCGGTCCCAGCCAGGGAGCCCCGGCAGGGCTGTGCCGTGGTCATGAGGTGCCTGTCCTGGAACAGTCGCCTCATTGTCTGCAGCCCTGGGTCTCGGCGGCTTCCCTCGCTCGCCCACGGTGCTGGCCTCGTGGGGCTGAGTCAGTGCCCGGCGCCGGTGGGCTGACCTCTGCTCCAGCTGGCGCTGGCGCCGCAGGGTTGGGGCCCACAAGCTGCTGCCTGCACCTGCCTGCCCTCACCGGCGGTGGGTGGCCCCTGGTAAGGCCCGAAAAGGTGCTCTCAGCCCTGGAAATCCCTTCTGGTCCTGCGCTGTTCCTCGGGCCCCCAGCAGGTGCTGGCAGCCTGCCTGTGTCCCCTCGCTGCTGCCTGTGCTGAGCTGTGGGGCTCTCCTCCAACCGGCACTGGCTACAGCAGCCCCAGGGCAGGAGTGTGCTGTGGCCTGGCTCTCCTCAGGTGGGCAGGTTGGGGTTGCCTCCAGGGGCCTTGGGCATGCTGCTCCCCCCTGCCCTGCTGTGAGGGAGCTGCTGCTCTCCAAACCCTGGGGCTGCACATGCTGCATGGGGTCTCTACCCCAAGGGGCTGTGTCCCCTCAGGCACCCCTCCAGCCCCCCCAGAGCAGGGAGGGAGATGGGTGGGCAGGGTGCAAGTCTCCCTCTCATGCGCTTGGTCGTCTCCCTCTCATGCTCACCTTCTGCTTGCAGGGACTGCCCCCAGTGCCGTTCGGATCCGGCCTGGCCCCCGAAGGAGCCCCGCCGCTGGCTGCGGAAGGCCTCCCCGAGCGCTTCGCCAGCCCCGCCGAGCGCCCGGCCCCGTCCTACAGCAGCATGGAAGAAGTCGACTAGGGTGTCATGGGGTGCCTGCCCCGGGGGTGCGGGCCGGGCCAGGCACTAGGGGGTGGGGGGACGGGGGGAGGTCAGGGTTTGTCCTGCGCTCATTAAACTCACTGAATTCCACTCGCCTCTGCTGCCTGCTGTCCCCTGGGACCTCTGGTCTCTGGCAAGGCCCCCTTCCCCCGCCCAGGGCACCATGGCCCCAGTGTGCTGCTGGTACTCCCAGCAGCCTGCTGCTCCAGGTGCCCTTGTGCTCTGTATCCCTTGGTGTGACTTGGTGGTCACAGTCCCCTAATGTCCCACAGGGACCAGTGTTTCTTGGTGCCCTCCACTGCCGGCTGCACTCTACAGCAGTGGAGGGACACAGTGTCCTCTGGTGCCTGCTGCCTCTCCTTACGCTCTGCCACTGACTGCACCCTGTTGTCTCGTGTCCCCGGTGCGATCTTGCCGCCTTAGTGCCTGGTGTCCCCTGCTGTGCCCTGGTGCTGGTGTGGTGGGACTTGCAAGTCCTGGTATGCACTGAAGTGCTCTGTCCCCTGTTCGTCCCCGAACAGTGTCTTGTCGCCTGCTGTCCCTCGTGCCCCCCTCCCTGGTGTCCCCTGGTGTGCCTTATTGCTTGCTGTCCCTAGCGCCCCGCTCCCTGGTGTTCCCCGCTCTCCCTAGTCCCCCTGTCCCCCGTTGCCACTCTGTCCGTCGCTGTCCCTAGTGCCCGGTGTCCACTCGGCTGTGCTCTATCCCCCGGCGCCCCCCGCCTCGCCCCCGTGCCGGTGCCAGAGCGTCGGGACTGCAAGTCCCGTCAAGCCGCGGGCGGTTGGCGCGGCCAATGGGGCTCGGGGGGCGGTGCGGCCGGTCTCTGCCTCCGCCGCCGCCCGGTGCCGCGGCGCAGAGAGCCCCGGAGCGGCCGCGCGGCGCCGGCCCCGCAGCCCGGCTCTGAGCCGCCCGCCCGGCCCGGCCCGCCCCGCCGCGCCCCGCCGCCCTCAATGAGGTTCTTCCGACTCACCTTCAAGTGCTTCGTGGATTGCTTCTGAGCCCCCCTCGGCCACGGAGCCGCCCCCGACCCGCCCCCGCTCCCCGGCCCCCCGCGACATGCCCCCCGTCCCCACCGACACGGCCGCCCCGCAGCCGCCCGACGCCCCGCGACGCGACGCTGCTGCCGCTGCCGCCGCCACTGCCGCGGCCGCCGCGGCCCCCACGGGCTCCGGTAAGCGGGGAGCGCCGGGGAGGAATGAGCTTGGGGAGGGGGAGAGAGGGGGCCCACGGCCACGCGCGACCGCGGCGCGCCCCCTCCCGCCGCCGCGGGGTGAGTCACCGCTCTGCATTGTGACGTCACGCGCCGGCCTGACATCTGACGTCACGCCCATACGCGCGGAGAGGGGCGCGCGGGGGGGGGAAGCGCTTCCCCCCCCCCCCCCCCCCCCCCCGGCGCGCGGGGCGGCGGGGGGGGGGTCCCCCCCCCCCCCCCCCCCCCCCCCCGCGCGTGGGGGGG